AATTTTTTCAAAATTGAAGAATTTGAAGACTCACTTGAGGTGATGGAAGTCATGTGCCTCTGGTGAAGGGAAAAATGGTAAATGATATCCGGAGTGAGCGTTTAGGGTCGACAGAATAGCCAGTGAAAACCAGATCCAAGCAGTAGCCACGTGTGATCCAACGATAAAAACACCGAGGAACGGAGGAATGAGATTCGAGCCGATGTGCTCCAGGGGATGGCAATACAGAGCGGTCACTGCTATCGGGGCTGTCCACTGGTGATGCTGTTTGTGGATGTACTTGTACAAGTATCGACTGTGAAGTAATCTAAAAAAAATATCAATTCATAATTAATTAATTCATTACCTTATATTATCATTAACATCAATGATAATAATAATAATTATTATTATCAGAGAATAATCTTTGTATTAATATAAATATTTGTAAAATAAAAATAAAAATCAAATGAAATTATGGAAATAAAATAGAATCGAGTGAATTAAAAATAAAAATAAAAATTCCTAAGATTAATCTACGAGAGAATCTCAATCCAGAGAATTTTTTTATTGTGGCTTGACCTGTGGGAATAGTAGAATCCAATTTCTTCGAATAAAATATGTACAGCGATTTCTGCTAACACCCAGTGAAATGTTGGAAGTTCTCTGACTGGCGGATATCCACGCCATTCCATGAGAAAGTGACTCAGATAAATAATAGGCAGTCCAACGACGATTTGATTGAATACCACTTGGACAATGACTTTTATCAGTTCCTTGTTGTCCACTGGTTCATTTGTGCCGGGTTGAATTTTGTAACGACGAAGGGCTGCCGGACGATTCGTTACATCCAGAAGTGTATAAATACCACCGAATAGCCAATAGACAACGAATGTCAACACCAGTGATCCTAGAAGAATAATTATTGCATAAACTTTATTATTTTATTTATTTATTGATTTATAATTCCTCTGACAGATCGTTAACGAATTGGTAAAACGTGATGACGTTTGACTTTTGACCAGTTTTTTGTAAATATTTCAGAATCTAAGGAAGATAGCGAAATTTTTATTACAACCTTTTTTGTGGAGAGGGTTTACATCTACAATAAGTGTAATTACGAAAATTACGATATCTCTGTTAGATTCGGAGATATTCGTCAAAAATTGAACTGAGGAATTAGTTGACTTATCTCGGTTTGGCACTTTGTTACTGTTTTTTCTTTTGTTGTTTAAATTTAACGTTTTTTTTTTATTTTACCATAGACGTAGAGGGTGATGGGGTCATCTCCAATGGTGTCTAGGATTTTATCCCATTGTGCTTGCCAAAAATCAGCAGACGAGCCCCAAAATCTCTGCAAATGCCTGGAGAACAGTTTCCCTTGTATTGTTGCATTCTCAATTTTTAATGAATAATTTGTCGATTAATTGCATTAAACTGTCAATTGGAATTTTCAACAAATAAAAAACGTAAATGCAAAAAAATCTCTGATAGTGTTTTTCAATATTGAATTTATAAGTAGAAAATATTATTTTTTTTTAAACCTTCAATTCTGATAGTAACTCGACTATTTTCAATGTGAATCGAGAAAGATAACAATTAAAAAAAAAATATTTCCACATTACTCAACAAATTACCGTAAAAAAACACTTTTGACTCACCACGTCAATGAATTACAAAAAGCAGCAAATCCTATGACAACAGTTCCGATAACGAATAAAACACTCCGCAAACTGGATAGCAAAGTGGGTTGAGTCTGCCCCTTCGTCCCAAGTCCCTCTGAAAAATAAATTAACACTAAAATTAAACAAATAAATCCTCAACACTCAAGGAATTCATAAAAAAATCTCTAACGATTCCATAAAAAAAAAAACACTGCATGCAATAAAACAAACCAATTGATAAGAGTATCTCCCCTAAAATTGTTTGATAACAAAAATTGCAATACCAACGCGCAATTGTTATTAAAAAAAAAACAGAAAGACCTTATCGCTAATTTTATCAATTGTTAATAATGGGTAATTGAGAGAATTTTATTTATTCACCTTTGTATTGCATCTGCACATCCATTTTTGTGTTATTGTTGGGATAAATTTGTTGATTATTGTGGAGGTGTTGACATGGACTCGGAAATGTCTAGTCGATAGACTGAAAACGATCTGAGAATTGCAAATATGCGCCGTAGCTTTCAGTAAGAGTACCGAGGTCATTACGTACCTAGCATTACCAGTTTTGTTTGTTGTCGTCATCATTACGGACATTTTACCGCACCGTTGAAAAATAGCAGGTGAAATCACGAGTAAAAATACTTGAAATCTCAACAATTCTCATTGACTAATAATTTTATTAAAAAAACCCTGAAAAACTTAAAAGTGTTGGCAGTTTAAACCCTGAAAAACTTAAAAGTGTTGGCAGTTTAAACATTCCCTCAATTTTTAATCCAACAATTTCATTGCAATTTCATTGCAATCAATCAATTATTACTATTAAAATCAATTACCAAAATCCATAAAAAATCGAGATGTCTTTGAGACTGAAATTTCAATTGTTGAATTAAATTAAATACTCATTACCCTATTTATTTATTTATATGTATTTATCTTTGTGGAATTGGGAAAATGTTGAGAATCATAAATTCAAAAGAATTGATATTGTTATTGATATTAATTGCAAATTTAGGAGAGAAGACAGGTAATTAGATGAATTAATTAATGAATAGGTTGTGTTACCTCTCAACAATTTCGTAATGCATAAATAATCTTTATTGCATCGTTATTATACTCCAGGTTTTAACTTAATTGTCTAGATATTTTAGTGGTTTTGTTCTGGTTTGGAGGAACTTATGGAAATCAAATGAGCTTCTAAGCTTTGAGGGCGGATTTTTGGTGGGCCTGTTGGAACATCTGCTGGAGTTTGTCGAGGGTCTCCCGGTGTTTTTCTTGCTTCGAATCGAGATCGGCTATCAATGTCTCTGTTCGTTTCCTGGAATTTATATAAATACGAGATTACATTAAAAATTTGTCTCATCCAAAAACGAAACTTTCGTTCATTCATTTTATTTAAAATTTTCCTGCTAAATAGTAAGGAAGTCTCGATAAATAAATCTTTCCAAACAATAAAACTTATAAAATAATTCAATGCAATTAATTAATCTCTTAAAACGAATTCATATTAACGTACAACAATTCAAATAAACAAAATAACATTAAATGATAATAAATTCGATATTTTGGGTACAAGAATTTTTACGAGAAAAAAAATCAATTAATATTCTGTACTCACAATTCATTAGTAATGAATTCAATTCGTTTATTAACATTCTGCCTAGCTTCTTCCAAGTCTTGTTTAATCAAAACTGGTCCGATCAATTTAAAAACCTCATTCCCAGGTTTAAGAAGACTGAGCTCTTCCTTGACCGTCGAATTTTCGTTTAATTGACCATCAAGCTGTTGTCGGCTGATCAAAGCCTTGTGATAATCTGAAAAATCAACAATAAATAATCCAATCCATCAATAAAAATATGACTCATCTTCACTATTAGGTTATAATGAATTAATTGACCTCTTTGCAATTGTTTATAAGCATCAACCTCGGACTGCATTTTCTTCTGTAATTCTTCCATCGTGCTCCTTGAAAATAACCGATAAATTGTTTATTAATTGTTTATTGTTGTTATTCCTATGAATTAAACAGAGATTCAAATAATGTGCAATTAAATTCCGATTGATTCTTGGTTTTTAAAGGGTTAGAGTCTGATTATAGATGCATTTAATACCTTTTGCACGAGTTAATTTATAGAATTTGTTTATAAACCAATGGATACGTATCGAGAATAACTTACACAAAGTTACACTATCACAGGCATAGAATATCTATGACCATAAATGTAGAGAAGGGAGAAGCCAAAGAGGTTTGACTAAAGTAGAGGGTCAGTTCTGGGGAGAGATTTTGCGCGTTTTTCCCGACTTGAAATTTATTTTTTTGCTCCCGTTAGGGGGCGTGGAATACAGGCGCGGTGATAATTCAAATTAAATTTTTTATCAAACTGTTGCCAACGATTGATGATAGATTGAGTAATAAATTATAGGTGGATAGGAGATATTCGTAATATACTCAGAGGTCGAGTAGTTTACCAATAATTTGACCAATGGAACAATATTAGGTTATGCAATTATTTACTTAACCTTCACATACCTAACTTCTCAGTGTTCTAAAAGGCATCTGATAAACGCCGCAAAACGCCTCTTAACGGGAGCAAAAAAATAAGTTTTAAGTCGAGAAAAACGCGCAAAATCTCTCCCCTGATCGATGGTTAGACGATGGTCGATGGTTGGTCAATCAAAATTACTCATCGATCCATGATCAACCCATACTCCACCCAGTGAACGACTCACTCTTGACATATTAAATAACTGACTAACTGACGATTAAAATAAATTAAATATCTTAAATCGATTTGAATTTGAAAATTTGAATTATCCCGAATTTCCGGCTCGCCAGAATGCATCATCCAGCCCTCTTTGTCGCGCAGTTGGTACTAAAATTTCTCAGGTCGCTCCAAGTTCCCGTTTTAGACCTCTACCCAGGATTATCGTCTCTGCTCGAGAATTTCTTGTGGACACGTTGATCTCGTCAGTGCACGTCAGTGCACCGGTGACAAATAATCAGTAAATCATTATCAAAGCTTCAATCACCCAAAAAATTCACCTTGACTATCCGACATCCCCATAGGGATTCCACAACTCCAGGGAAGTGATGCAAAAATCATAAATAAGCCCCAGGTAAATAAAAAAAAAAGCACAACAATTACCAATTGTCCACAACAATGGGTAGAGAAAACGTGGAACTCTCTTCATCTCCCTCGAAACACACAATTTGGATAAAAATTGCTGTAGCAGCAATTATCTTGATTATCTTCCTGAATTTGCCACTGATCTGTGAGTCTCAAGGACACCATCACCACGAGGGGCATCATCATCACGATGATCACGATCATCACGATCATCCCCACGAGCCAGCGAGTTTCAAGTACTCCAGACAAGCAAATGATCCATCAATTAAAAATCCCCACGAAAATCATCACCACGACCACGAGTTCATCAAGAAGTCAGAGCAGATGAGACCTGGGGAAGAGGGAAGTGTGATGTTGAAGGCCATGGGATCGACCCTCTTGATATCAGCAGCTCCATTTGTCCTTCTGTTCTTCGTTCCCCTGGACAACACCAAGGAACGCCAGCCCCTCCTGAAGATACTCCTGAGTTTTGCCTCTGGTGGACTCCTAGGGGATGCCTTTCTCCACCTCATACCCCATGCCCTTGTGCCCCACTCCCATGGACACGATGATCACCATCACGATCATCACGACCATCACAAAGGAGAGCATCATCATCATCACGATATGACTGTTGGTCTCTGCGTTCTCCTGGGTATCGTCGTCTTCCTCGTCGTGGAGAAGGCTATCAGACTGATGAAAGGCGATCATGGACACTCCCATTCCCATTCCAAGGCGGAGGGCAAGGGGAAGGATGTCAAGGCCAAGGAACAACCTGGAGAAATTAAAATCGCTGGTTATCTCAATCTTGCTGCTGATTTCCTTCACAATTTTACTGATGGTCTTGCCATTGGGGCTAGTTATCTTGCTGGGGAGAGCATCGGCTACATCACGACTGTTACTATTCTTCTTCATGAGGTACCACATGAAATCGGTGATTTCGCCATTTTAATTCAGAGCGGCTGCAGCAAACGAAAGGTTCGATCACATTTTTTATCATTTATCTAGTTCTAGAGATTCTTCAAAACGAATTATTCTTCTAGCATTATAGATAATTAAATGAATTAAATTGTTATTATTATTATATTGTTTTTAGGCAATGCTGTTGCAATTGACAACAGCTGTTGGTGCTCTATGTGGTACCTATGTTTCGCTTCTTGCTGAGGGAATGGGTGAGCAAAAAATATAAAAAATCTTTTCTCGTGACTCAACAATTTATTTTCATAATTTTAAAAAATATGGAAGAAATATGGAAGAAGCTTTTGCAAATAGAAATTCAAATTACAGCGAAACGAGTGAATAAATTGGAGAACAAAGAATTCAGAGAAAAGTAAAATTTCTGCATCCTCATATTTTTCACAAAATTTCGTCGACTCAGAATTATAAAAAAATCGATTTGTCGATACACTAAAAAAAAATCATTAAAAAATCGATTCCATTTATTACATATTCCATATTATATATTCCATTTATGGTACGGCGTGACAAATAAAAATTGCAATTGAGTAAAAAATTGTGGACAACGAATTTTGAGAATAATCCATAAATTTTCAAGTTAATTGATTAATTGAATTGAATTTCTTGTGCTCCAGGTGATTTGGCGACAGCTTGGATCCTCCCATTCACAGCTGGAGGTTTCATCTACATAGCGACAGTGTCCGTAATTCCAGAGCTCCTGACAGACACAAAATTCTGGCAATCAGTCAAAGAAATAATTGCTCTGCTCCTCGGGGTGTACATGATGGTGTTAATTGCTGAGTACGAGTGATATTATTTGGAGTGAGAGGAATAATTAAATCGACAGGATGGCCTGTGATACCTTCATACTGTACAATATTTACAAAAGCATTCACGAGTTCCTGGAAGTCGTCGTATTTTTGTAAGGGACCTGTAGATATTCCTTGTTTTCATTTTTTTTCTTCTTTATATTTTTTTCCACTAATGGAATCATTGCTATGGTGACGTCACTCTAATGTTTTCTCTGTAAATATTCGTCATTGACTCAGTAATTTTTTCACCTCGGCCAGACAAGCATTTGCCTGCTCTTGACACTCGATATCATTGTTTTTCTTTGCTAACTTGAGACCCACAGTGCAGGCATCACGTGCCTCGTTGTACAAACTCCTCTTCAGGTACACGTTTCCTATGTTAACGTGGATTGAACTCAAGTCTGACATTTCTGGCAGTTTTTCTCCTGTTGGATGAATAAATGTTATTATCAGTCAAATGAATCAACTGATTTATATGAACTAAACAATTAAAAAAATACTTTTTCATATTTCGTAATAGAATCAATAATTGAATTATTCAACAAAACAAAATAAATCAAACATAAATCGATAATTCCACTTGAGTTGAATTGACATTTTCCCTAATTATCGATTTATCTCGAAAACTATGAATTTATGGAAAAAGTACAAAATGACTTGTTTTGTAGGCAAATAAATTTTCAATAAAAAAGGATTATTGATGTTTTCTTCTAAAATCGATAATTTTCGAGAAAAATCCAGCTGAATTATCGTGAAAAAAAATCATCGTTGAAAATTGATGAGAAAATAAAAATTTATGACTCATTTCTGGATTTACCAATTAATATGGCGTCTGACAGGTGTCCCAGGGCTTTTTCGTATTCCCCTAGGAGGCAGTAGACAGTCCCCAAGTCGTTGAGGAGGACTACAGTCTGTTCGTGCTCATCCCCGTGGACTTGCTGACACAATTTGTGGGCCTGCTGGTAGCACTTGAGGGCCTCAGGCAATCGAGACTGGGACAGGAGGAATTTCCCGTACCAGTCGAGGGTCATTCCCCAGAGGAGGAGGACATCCTCGTCCTCTGGGCTCGTCTTCGCCTGCTCCAGCACATGCTTCAAGCAGAACGCGTAGCCGTTCTCTGCTTTTCTGGAGGATTTTTTTGTTTGCTCATTATTTGCTACGGATTTCCAGAATTTCTCCAATTTATTGCAAATACTTGATTATTTAATTATTCACTTTATTTTTTTGGGGGGCATCTCTTACCCTGGGTCACCACTTATTTCGTAGAGTCTCGCCAGCTTTAGGCTGATGTGGATCATCTTCATGTCACCCTCTGCGGTACCGGTTGACATCAATCGTTGCATCACCGATACGAACAGCTTTTTCGATTTTTCTACGTCACCAACTTCGAATGCCAAATTCGCCAAGACGTCGTAGACGTATGTTATTCCGTCGTAGTGCTGGAGAGTCTGCGCCTGATGGAGGGCCACGTGCAGCATCTGCTCAGCTTTTTTGTATTCGCCTCTCTGAAAATCAAAACAAATACGTGAAAAATTTATTTCATTCGCTGAATTCACACAATTAATCCACTCTTTGAATTAATTACATCAAATAATTACAGGAATTAATCAAATAAATTAATTCCTTGAATTAATTTCATCAAATAATTCCCTGAATTAATCTCCTCGAAGAATTATTTACATTCACTTCGCTAATTAATTCTTACAATTAATCCAATCAATTATCAATTGAAATTAATTCTATCAAATAATTTCGAAGATTATTTGGAGTATTCAGTACACGAATTGCTCACTTGAATTAACAAAATGGATCTTTTAATTGTTGTAATGAGTTCAGGTTCCAATTCCTCGTCTTCCTTTCCAAATCCGAAAATCCCCAGGAAAGCTAGACCTCCCCCTATGACACCCTTGGGACACAGGGGGTTGGTTTCATCTCGATAACGGAATCTTCTTGTCGTAGTTTTCTCGATGACAGAAATATTCATTCTTCGTCCTAGAGTGAAAATCGCCTGCAACACTCTTCTCTTCAACATTTTTATTTACAGATTTTCAATCCTGATGATCTGTAACAATGAATAATATTTTATTATTATTGATATTATTATTGATTTTATTATTAATAATAATACTACAATAAAAATCAAATAAACGTATAAAAATTGAGTAATTCGTTAGGATTACTGGAGAATTTAGTCATGATTAATTTGAAATTCATTTAGTAATTTAATATTTTTTAAAATATTTTATTTAGGACAGATTTGACCGCAAAATTCGGAATAATCAATAAATAGACACGAAATTAATCGGTAAAATGGATTGAATGACGCAAGACTTGGTCGATCTGAAAGAATATATCGCTTTTTCATTTTGTCATTTCGTAATATTTCATATGAATGTGCAATAATTTTCCAGTATTTTTCCTAGGTTTCTGAATTATCGAAAAGATCAGGAAAAACCATTATAGGAAAAATTATTACACAATCATGACATTTTGAGCGATTAAATAATGAGAAAATGGAAAACCGGTGTATTTTTTCGTTTGAATCGGATAAACAATTCGTTAGAAAACGAAAAAAACCGATGATTCCAATTAAAAAAGGAGAACCTCAAGCTGATCGATAGAATCACACGATTTTGATGAATAAAAAAGCAGTTCCCCCTTTAAATTCGTTTAACAATTTATCTTCTGCCTCTCCACCTGCCCCAGTCGTAAATGACCTCCACCCTGTTGTCAGTGTTGACCACCAGGTAACGATTGGCAGTTACTGTACTTCCTTGTCCTACGAAACACACCTTGAAGTGATGGAGCTGATCCTCACCTAGCACCAGCCACGACAACCTGATCAGGTGAGCAACCAATAATTAATGAATATAAACATAAATATAAGTGAAAAGCCCCGATGAGGTGTTCCCAAGCAGTCATTTATTGAATTAATTTTAAAAAATCTGCCCTTTGGATCAAGCGAGAGTGAATTCGTGTCTCCAGTAATTTTTGTGTCTTACGTAAATATCCGTCGATTCCAGGGAATTCTCGAATTTTCAGGGATCAATTCCTGTTTAATTGATCTTTAATCATCAGAGTATCGAGGATTTTTATTATTTTTTTGAGTTTCTCCTCGGACACTCCCTGTTTTTATTATTATTTACCTGCATAAGACTTCCGAAAGATGGCGGACTAACCTGAATTTTTTGGAGTATAACATATTTGTTTGAATTACTCGGTTGTTGTTAATTATGTTAGAGTCATTGTCGTGTGCAACAGGTGGATTTATTTGTTTTTTTTTGTCTATTGCAGGGGGAGGGGGAGTGTCTGGGGTACGGTGCAATCCTTCTACATTTGGAATTTCGAGTTTCGGGGTTTTTTGAGGATATCTCCAGAGCGGGGGGAGGTAGCGGAAACTTTATTGAACATTTTTTGAAGCCCTGGATCTTCTCGATAAAAAAGGTCCTTTGAAGATTTCGCTAGCTCTATTACTTTCTGGGATATTCCGGAAATTGTGAAATTGAATTTGAACAGAAACGAGACATGATTTCATCGCAGTTTGTTTTACCTGAATATCTCCTTATCTGAAGGAGATACCAGAATTTTCTATAGATCTTTTTTTGTAGTATTCATTTTTTTCTACAAAAAAGCCCCTACAAGTTTTTCTCTATCTCCACCTCCTTCAAAGATTCCTTCGAAAAACCGACATAAATATTCCAAAATTTCATTGTTACCTTTATGAATCTATTAATTTATTATTGTTCATAAAATCATTATAAAATATTATTATATTGCAGACCTGATGTACATTGAAATTATGACAGACTCCATATCCGGACCTTGTGCTTGACATTCCACTGATTAATTAACGAGTACTTGAAGTTATTGTGTTTTCAATAAAAATGAATTCTCCGGGGTCTACGGACACCCCCGACAGCGGGTCGACGCCAAAAATACCGGATATCACGGAAAAAACGAAGAATTGGGTGCAGTTCGAGGAGGAGTCGTCCCCTAGGCGTCGGGATGCCGATGACAGCCAAACGGTCACTTTGAATCCCGAAAAAATAAAAAGAGCGATGGAGGAGACCCAGGGGAAGAGGAACGAGTACTCTGGTGCTGTGATAGCAACTGAATCCGTCCAACTGAATCTAGATAGATCAGGACTGAGTCGATCTGTTTCCTCGGAGAGTCCTGAGAATGTGCCTTCGGATGTGAAAAATCATGATCCAAAAAGTGCCTCCTTGAAGACAATCGATCTCAGGGATACGAATGGCAGGAGTCATGTCAATAATGTTGTCAGTACACCCATTGGAAACATCAGGAGAGGATTTGCCAATGGTGACACCATTGTCACCCTTTTACCTGTTAACACCAGGTGGCCATGGATAACACCCGCTAAATTTCGTCCTGAACTCGTTCCTGAGGAACTCATGGCTCAAGGCCTCACTGTGAGAATTACCTCTTACAATAAATATTTTTAAAAAAATCTAATGAAAAAAATATTTCCAGTTGACAGTGGAGGACTACGTGCACATAATGGAGCTTCTGGTGAACGACGTGCGCTTCAACATGTACAACATCTGCTACAAGAGAATCCTAGTCCTGTGGATATTCACAGCATTCGTCATTCTTCTGGGTCTCCTGTTCTCTGGTGTTACAGGTCTAACTCTATTCGGTCTGGGGATCATGTGGCTCATCCTCAATGCAGCTGCCATATTCCTCTGCATGTTCATCAAGATAAAACTCAATCACAACCTGGAGAAGTGCATGGCACAGGTGAACAAACACCTTCTGCGACACAAGATACTCCTGGGGCTCGACGACAGGGGAAAAATTTCCTGTCACAAGGTCAACCTCTGCTTCATCTACTTCGACACCACTGATTGCATCGTACGTTTCCAAAACATTCAATTTTTTTAATACCAGTTATTCTTCATGGAATTAAATCTAGTCAGTTTAGTATTGATTTAAAAAATCAGTATGAGAAGAGACTGGAAAGAAAATGGAATGCCGGCAAAATGGGATGAATCTTTGCAAATGTATTTTACTTTCATGTACAAACTCATGAGATAATCTAAAAAAAAGACACACACTTTTAGACTGTCTCCAGCATGATGAACATCCATTTTTTTATTTTTGTTTAGAAAAAACTGCAAGAGGTAATTGAGAGAGAGGAACGAGATGGTCGAGTGATTGGTGGTGATGACACGAGTGAGGCACAACGGAGAAGACAGGAATTGCAGCAGCGAATGGACATTGATGACAGTGATATCGTGATACAGGGATCTTCTACTACAAGACTGTCTCGTAAACAGGTGAGTCAAGCAGTAGCTAATAGATAAGAATTATCAGCAGATTTTCTTGGGAGCAATGGATGACACAAGTGGTAAATGTTTACAGAAGTGGTAGGAAAAGATAAGTTCCCAGTCAACAGACCTCAGTTTGTTTTCAATTGATATCTCGACATCTAGGGCAGATAGCTCAATTTCGTTAGAACGACTTTTCTAGATCTACTTCTCACCTAGAAAAAAGTTCCCACGAACATTTTGATATCTCTCGTAGATTTCGAATTATTCCCATTTTTTAATCCGTTGTTTTAATAACAAATTGAGAAAATTATACCCATTAATTTGGAGATTTTCAGTAAATAACTTCGAGTCTCGGGGAGATAGGGAAATTTTTGTTGGAGCTTTTTTGTAGAGCGGAGGAAGAGCTACAAATAAGTTCCCACAGAGACATGGCTATCTCCGCTAGATCAAAAGATATCCCCTAATAACTGACAGAAAGTTCGACAGATCCTCTCCAATAGATATCCCCGAATAATCCTTCAAAATTAATCCATCGTCAGGGAAAAAGTGAACAAGTGTTGTGCCGTTACGTGCAGCGCTGGGGAAAAGATTACTTGCGACGTCGATTGGACTGGACAGTTGATGAAGAGGGTGGAAACCCCACGTCTCCACGTCACCTAGCGTCAGCCCTATGTCCTTGTCAATATATCGAGGAGTGGCTGAGGAATAAACCACGTGTACAGGGCAGAGACTTCTGCCCTCGATGGAGCAGTTTCCTCAGGGATCGTGGATTCTAATCGTTTCAACAGTCTTCTGCTTATTTATCTCATTCTCTTCTCCCTCATCGAATCCCTCATTAATTCCATCATTAATTCCTCCATTAATTCCCTCATTTTCAGTGAATAGTACTTTCATCTGCTTGCTAAAATATTTTTTTGAGGCTTCTTCTCGTTGAAAAAGAGGTGACGGTGTGTTGGCAGGAGCGGGCAGAGCTGGTGCTGCTGAGATATGCACCAAGATGGGCTCGTAACTTTGTCAGGCACAGGCTGGACCTCGTTGTTGATTCCCAGGATCGTAACAGAGTCATCATTGGATCAACTGCTCCACCCCGTCACTGTATATCCGCACGTTGTCCTTGTCAGTTTATTGAGGATCATCTCAAATTCAAGCCCAAAGGCAAGTTATCATTACGTCAATTATTCCAATTGCCGGATTTCAAATGATTCAATTCTAGGGGATGAGATCCATTTTTTCGACTTTTTTTTTTCGATGCACACGCGTAGTTAAGGGAGATACCAAAAAAATCATTCGACCTTTTTTGGGGAGGATAAAAAGAGCTATGAAAAAGGTCGTGATGATAATTGGTGTATCTCCAGTTGGTTCGGAGATATTCGGAAAAATATTATCGACGGTTTTAGTGTTTTATGAATTTGAGAATTTTTATTTTAATTTGACGCAGCTCGGAATTCGGGGGAGATACGAAAAAACTTGTTGAACCTTTTTTGTAGAGGAGAGAAAGGACTACAAAAAAGGTGTTTGTGAAAATTCTCGTAGGTCCCTTGGATTCGATGAAATTCGTTGAAATATGATCGTTACTTTACAGATTATATGATTTTCCTTCTGTTCTAGTACTTAATACATTCTTTCTACTGTACTTAATAAGAAAACTAGTTGCTTAAACTGATGAATAGTTAATTGTTAATTAATGTGATTAACCAAGGAGCCTCGCAATGCCATTTTCATTTAGTATCATGATTAATTAGGTTGGTGACGGTTTTTTTAATTTGTTCTATCAGACTAACTCCGACCTTTTCCTCGACTGTTAATTACTATTTTATTACCAATTCCGTCCAACAAATTGAATATTACATAACGTACTTAATTGTCGCGTATTTGGATAAGTGATTATTGTGAATATACATGTAACATGTAAAGAGAATAGCGAAGATATTTATGTACAATAGAGTACATATATTTTTTTCTACTTATGAAATATGTATCACTGTTAGATAAAATTTATTGAATTATATCGATGGCGATTTTGATTTACCTGTTGTTGTTTTTTTTTTCTCTATCGTGCTATTGTCATTTTCGATTGTTCACTAATTTTATTGGGCCATTATTTGCACGCAGCTGGAAGGAAGGAACAAATATCTGTGCTATCACGTAATCATGCTTTAAATACTTGAGAGATAAGTTTTTTGAGAGCAATTCGTAAGTATAAATTTATTGCTGGGGGAATATCTTGTTGGTTAACAATTTTAGATTTATGGGTGAGGCTTGAGGTACTGGATAATTGTCGAAATATTCCTGTATTATTTTTTGAGATTTTCAAATTTTTGGAGGGGATTTTTTTTAAGCGGGAATTTTGTTTTTTGCACGATTTTTCACAGAATATGATGAAATTATTTATTCAGGTGATATTTATTGAGTTCTGATTAATTGAATGAAGAGAAAAATTAGTTTTTGTAATGTGTCATCAAATTTCGAAAAAATCTGAGGTAATTTATCTGTTTTCAAAATTCAGTATCAAATTTCGAATGAATCTCTCGTCATTTATCTGTTTACTATATTTTCCCCATTTTTTCGTGGGAATAAATAAATAAATTCTGTCATCTAAATATATTTTCTCGTTTAATATATCGAAGTATCATTTTTTCTAACACAATTTAATGAATCATGGGATTTAACTTGACGTATGCGTCAGAGAAGGCGATTTTTTGAGTTTCTCGATGAATTTTCTTAATTCTTCTCGAAATTTTCCAGGATATCCACCGGGTTTCACCTGGTGCTCGTACTTGAGTGATCCTGCCCTTAGGTATGATCCTCCGTACTACGCAAGCTCATCAAACCGAAATTTATAAAATTTATTTAACAAAAGTATTCCATGGAGTAGTGGATCCGATAAAAATCGATTGTCCCTATAACTGCGCAATTATCTCCGTAACTAACGACTGCAGGAGAAAATGCCAGAAAACTTTTTTTGTGGGGAATTTCCTGACCTACAAAAAAGCTCCCACAAAGTTCTCTGCTAGACCCTGCCTTACCGAGATAATTCCATAATTATGGTACACCGATTTTCGTCAATCTACTACGGATTCCAAGAGTCGCATTTAAATTAAATTATCAATATTTCACGGAAAAAATATCTCAATTACACTAAAAAATTTGTTGGGGAGTTCTCAAATAGTATTACAATTATTTCTAAAAAGGGATTTATCAGTGTTGTAAATTTAATTAGTAGATATTAATTTTATCTTAATAAAAAATGTCTCTCGGTGTGGGAAATGTGCCTTCGGTAGAAATATTAAAGGATAAATCAAAAAAAGCATGAGATATCCGTCCACTCAATGCAAATACCGTGCAATAACAATTAATCAGTGATTACGTTGAATAACGCGAATTATTCGTTACTCTGGGGTTTTATTTAGAGAGATTTATGGGAAATGAACATATCTTTGACGTGATATTCATGTATAAAATTTTATAATAAAGTTAATAAAGTATTTACACGAAAATTACCAATTATTTAGTCAAGACCGCTTGTGCCTGGTCTCTAATGTCTTGTGCAAGTGTTACTATTGCTGTGTAATCGATTTGCAATTCATTTTTCTCGACTTCCAACGACTCTGCGAGATTTTTCAACTGTTTATTGCCTTCCAAATAAGTTCGAGCTTTTCCATAGATGTTTTCAACGTCATAAGCGTTCGTGGGAAAGTGCAAATTCGGCTGGACATCTTCTGCAAAAATGAAAATAGTAATAAATAAATTACATCAGTTATTTTGCACCCGATGTTTTGACGATTATCTCCGGATCTATTGGACATACGACGATCTTCGTGGGACCTTTTTTCTGAGGAACAACAGGGGCTACAAAAAAGGTTAATATAATTTTTCGATGTTTTCTCTCCTTCTGGAGATACAGTCGAAAAACCAGAGGGAATTATTGTTTTTGGGGAATTATGAGTGAAATAAATTCAAACCTCGATCTTTAAAACTGAATGCCACATCATTTTTGGTTGGAATATTCAGATCCTCGATTATCTGGTCCACCTGAGGCAAATTCGGTCGTGGGGGCAGATTTTTTCGTTTATTCCCAAACATTTTCGCCCTCCAAATATTTTCTTCGTGAATAAATAACAATCACTGCTGGAGATGCACGTCATTAGCTCATGACATGTCAACAATATGTTTTTTTTTTCATGTTTTTTAATCTCCCTTCCCTTTCCGCTTCTCTATAAAATTCTGGCCAATGAGAACGGCAGAAGGGTGCGTTTAAATTCCCCGCCAGATGTTCGTCGACATAACCTTGTAAATGGCGGACGCCAGGTGCTTACAAATTGTTTTTTTTCAGCTGAAAAGTAGAGACAATCAATCAAAATGTTCTACCACGTGAGTAATTAAACCTCTAATTATATCTTAGACATTAAGTTATCGCTGTTATCAATGGATTTTATTTTAGATATCTCTGGAACATGAAATTCTCCTGCATCCCAGGTACTTCGGGCCCCAATTGTTGGACACTGTGAAACAGAAATTGTATACAGAAGTCGAGGGCACCTGCACTGGAAAGTACGTTGAGGCCTCCAGAACCTTCTGGAGATTTTAATATATTAATTAATTAACCAATTATCTCGGGAATAATTCCATAGCTGATAACACGAAAATTCGTATTATTTACAATTTTTCATTTTGGATCTGACGTTTTCTGTCTGAATTTGTGGGAATGACAGAATTTTTTTTTGTGGGTGATTAGATGACTTTTAGATCGTTGATAGTGATTTACGAGTTTTATTGGGGTTTAGGTATGGATTTGTAGTGGCTGTGACGACAATTGACAATATTGGAGCCGGAATTATTCAGCCTGGCCAGGGGTTCGTCGTTTATCCCGTTAAATACAAGGCCATCGTCTTCAGGCCGTTCAAGGGAGAAGTTCTGGATGCCATCGTCACGCAAGTTAACAAAGTACATCATAATTCAAATTTTTTAATTAAAAAATTCAACTCTCCACCAAGTTCACATCGATTGGATTCTTGAATACGGAATAACTGTCAAACGAACGACGGGATTTCGATGAGTTAAATGCCATTTTCAAGAGCACGAAAATCCCTTGAAAATGGAGAAATAATCATTGAATCTCACTCAGCCGATCTGGAGATATCAATGATTGAATTTTCGGTAATTATTTTTACTGTGATTTTGTTGTTGCAGGTTGGAATGTTCGCGGAAATCGGACCCCTTTCCTGTTTTATCTCCCACCACGTGAGTAAAATTCCCTCTGATTAAGCAAATTAGCAATCGATCGTATATTTTTGTTATTTATAATTATAATTAAAATTCCAGTCAATCCCAGCAGACATGCAGTTTTGCCCGAACGTCAGTCCCCCTTGCTATAAATCCAAAGAAGAAGACGTCGTGATCCAGGCAGATGACGAGATCAGATTGAAAATCGTGGGAACACGTGTCGACGCTACAGGAATCGTAAGAAAGCCTCCAATCATCGAAATTAGCAACCCGGAGCAAAAATCCAATAATTATCAACGAATTATAAACCAATTTTCAATTTACCCCAAAAACTATCAATTTGACAAAAAAACATTAGAGAACTTTTTTCTAGATGATTAAAGTCCCGAAAAAAAAGTCCTTTTCATATTTCCTCCCAAAATCAATACATTTCGAAATTAATCGATAATTCAAAACGATAAATTGGTGTATTGGAATTGTTTCAGTATCAATACCAAGAATTAATCAATTAATTAATAATTTTTTTGCAGTTTGCTATTGGAACGTTAATGGACGACTACTTGGGATTGAACTGCGAATAATTGAATTTCTGGACTTAAAAATGCAATTCATTTTATTAATAAAACCAACAAACACGTGAAGCTCCAACTATTTTAAACTCTAGACAGATGAAACTGGAGTTTGCTGATTATTCTTTACCAATCATCTGATAATCAAATAAATACGTGGAATTAAATCGTCGAGTGCTCAATACAGCAGTGGATGAAGGCTTATTTTTTTTTATTTCTAACCAGGAATGGGTGCCAGCTGGATCTCGGGGGAGATCCTGAGCACAAGACTCACGCAGCTAATTTAGCTGCTATGTCGGGCTTGGCTTTTGCTGGGATTTTCTCGTCGTCCGGCATCATCTTGTCAGCCACGTGTTTGAATACTAGACCGTCTGAACCAACGTAGAACGTGGATAATCCGTCATGCCACCTGCAATTCATTATCAGTCGTTTTTTAATTTTTTTTTACGTTAAAATTTTCATTGATATTAACTTAAAAATTCTTTTACTGACACGAAATTCAATTTCAGTCTTTAAATGAATTTGGAATATTGATATTTCTGCAGGACACGAGTTATTAAAATAATTTTCAAACGATTTTTATACGATTTCATCTTAAAATCGATATTTCTTCGGGAAACGAATTATTAGAAACGATTTTTGCACGATTTTTATACAATTTCATATAAAAATTGATATTTTTTCAGAAATCGAGTTAGTAAAAACGATTTTCATGCGGTTTTATTTAAAAAAATATAAGGAGGGACTGATTGCAGGACAGAATTGTGGACTTACGATTCAAGCGCTCGCATACTTTCAGATATTTTCAAAATCTTCAGCTTCCAGAACATCGCGAAAACTTTCAGCCCAGAGAGACCTCTGATTCTCCACCTGACTTTGACGGTACCCTCGTCCGGGTGCATCGTTATCTTCAGGATGTCGAATTTTACGTACGCGTACATAACATGGGCTGATGTCCTCAGGTACAATATTTGTTTTATATAATTATTTATTCCCCTGAAAAAGAAAGACGTCTAGACATCCCACATTTTTAAAAATTATCTCTCTGATTCTATTATTGTCATTCGAATTATTTTTAATTGTCAATTCCATAAATTTTGGGATCGCAAAAATTGTATAAAATAATAAAAATTGACTGTAAATTAATATTTACTCATGGGATTCCGATTGATTACGAAATATTGATCGTATATCAGGGGAAAGTAATGATGAACTAGAGAAAAAACTGAGTAATTATTTTATAATAAATTTAATTTGTTGTACAAACTTTGATGATGTGCCTTTCAAATTATTTATGAACTCCAAGTCCCGGTGATATATACGATAGTCAATGGAAGATACAAATATCTTGGGAAGCTGAAACAAAGATCGTATTCCCTTAAATTATCTTTCCACAATCTAAAAACAATTAACAATCCAATAATTAATTTAATCGCTAATTAGAGTGATGAATGATGATGAGTGGATTGAGTTGGCCGGTAAGTTTTTCAGTGATATCTCCGAATCTAAGAGAGATATCGAAATTTTCGAAGAAACCATTTTTGTAGTCGTCATTCTGTTCTACAGAAAAGGTCCTGAGGAAAAAAGTGGTATCTCCCTTAGATTCGGAGGTGCTCCTCGAGGAAGTGAATTTCCAAATTTTATTGTTTTGTTTTTGAGTTCGATTTTTCGTTTTTTCTGGGGGATTGAAGGGGGGAAGTACTCACATCTCTCTCCAGGGCCTCATTTATCGTTTGCAGCTGCTGTTGGGAGGGTCCCTTCGTCTTCTCGTCGTTCTTTCTGTCGTCTGAGGTTTTATCGTAATTCTGAGTTACGACAGACTCTTTGGGGCTAGAAGTTGTTGAATAAAGTCTCAGGGGATTCCCGTGGACGATAAATCGGTTCGTCAGGTATGCGATTGTCTCATCAACTTTTGGTTGACTTACAGAAAACGTATCATACTGTAAATAAATAAAAAAAATATCAATTAATCAATTTTCCAATAACAAACGAGAAATTAACTGAAATGGAACGGCAGTTTTCGGCGGATAAATCGAAACTGAAGGACATACGACAAAATTTGTCGGAACCTTTTTTGTAGATCTTTTTCTGCTCTAAAAAAAAGTTCCCGACGAAACCTCGCTGTCAGCCTTCAGTTCCTAGATATTCACGAAAAACTCCAGCCGAATTCGAGTATTCATCCAAAATTTCCCTAGTTCTCTCTCTATTTATTAAATTATTAATTTATTAATAACTATAATAATTCCACATTATCCATTATTTATATTTCATTAATCATTAACACTAATTCATTGATCCCCTATTTATTTAATTATTTTTTCAAAGTCCAATGAATATTCAGCGCTAAATCAATTGAAAATGACTACAAACATTAAATAAATAAATGAATTGTTAATGAATCAATTAATTAATTAGAATAGGCAGTTTGAAATTTCAAAAGGCAATTATCACTTTTCCTAAAATAAATGGGTGTTTCCGGGAATTTTAAATTGTTAATTGTAATATAACACGCGGATAATTTGTCCCGTGTGGAATTTTAGTTAATTAATTAATCAAGAACATGCTCTGCGGATTATATAAGCCCTGGAGTAAGAATTTTAGGTTAGGCCAGATCGGCATTTCCAGAAGTTCAAAGGATTATCGTAAAACGATGACAGCAAAAAGTGAGTGGAAATAGACATCAGATTGTCAATAAACAATTCGTTTTAATTACCATTTTTCATTAAGGATTGAATAACGTACCTTTTGCAGGAGTGCAGACCTCTTCATGTGTTTTGGCAGCCGGCGGTTAATTTGCATCAGCTGTTTTCTGGAGTTAACGTAAGTTATTACTCGACTGGAGACTGATCGCACGCACTGAGACATTTTAAACTTTTTGTTGCTCAATGTTCATTAAATAATTGGTATTTTCAATCCTCGAAAGCTCACAAATCCCGGGATAATTGGAGAGCAAGACCCATCACACCGGCCATGTTATATTCCCACACATACATAGGAATATGTAATACATAAGTTACAGATGTGTGACAGATGTCAACAACGCAGTCGCTCGAAACTCGTCCGATTCCCGCTGACCCTACGAACCGATTTCCGAAAATCAACATTCATTTCAAAGATAAAACTCAGATCTTCAATTTGAAATAAATAAATTTTGAATTTCACTCAGCCAGTCTCGAGATATTGACGATTGAAAATCAGACGTTTTGATGAGTCCTTAGTAATTTCGATGAAATTGTTAATCCAGTCAATAATTATCGCACAATTTGATAATTACTTATTAATTATGAGATTTTCATTCAAACTGATGGACTCTGGATTCTAGAAAATTTTTCTGAGACCTGGGGAAATCAAGGGATCTGGAAGAGAGAGGGAGAATAAAAATTATCATCTAGAAATTAACAACAGACTTTTTTCGATTATAGAGATCATTAATGATAAATAACAGTAATAAAAAATGAAATTGGTATCAGCACTCGAATGGAAACATATTAATAAAATTAAAAAATCGGTATTTACGATTGAGTTACTGATTTTAGTTTAGAGATAAATTCTGGAATTCTCGTGGAAATCACTGACAAATTCCATTAAATCTTGACACAATATAAAAAAAACATTTACAAATAAATAAAATGTCTCTAAATCACGACATAGGAATCCCCGAAATTTATTCTATATAATATCGATGCCAAATTTATATTAAAATCCGTAATATTCTGTCAAAATGTGAGAGAATCTGTCGAGGAAATCGAGATTATTAATAATTTAGTGTAACCATTCGGTAAGCATGTTATCTTCAAGATTAAAATCGTTAAAGTGCCTCATACGCCATGTCAACAGGTTCTTTCATGGTGGAGCCATTGAGGAACTCCTCGAGTTCGTCTCGACCCTTCTCTTCATTTTTCGCTCGATGATGCGATCTCTTCTTCTTCCTCTCACTCTTCTCCGATTTTTCCTTGCCCTTGTCCTTGTCCTTGTTTTTCTTCTTCCGTCGTTTCTCCTTCTCCTCCCCCTACAAGAAGAGATATCAAAAAACGTTTCGAATACTTTTTGTAGCTCTGAGTCTTCTCTACAAAAAAGTTCTTCACAAAATTTCTGTATCTCCACCAGATCTCAAAATATCCCACCCACCCAACAAAAGCTAAGTCCCTCATTTTTGAATCCTTGAAATTCCTGGATTTTCCTGAATTATTCTCCAGAATTCCAGGAATTCCGTTGATTTTCGTCTAGAAATTATTAAAAGAAAGTCTCACCACATGTTTTTTTCTCTCTCTCAGGACGGGGCTCTCGTCGGAGTCCCTCCTGGCCCCGGAACAGTCAAGCAATTCCAAATGAACATTGGAACTCGTAACGGAGACATCAAGACTCTTATCACTCAATTCGAGTTTATCCTTCCTGGTCCCAGTGCTGGCGACATCCTCCCCGCCCTCAGGACTCTGCCTCCACTTGGAGTCAGTGGCCAGCCAGCTGTCAAATCCCTCCTCCTGACCCTCAACGCCATTCCCCAGCTCCTCACTGGAGGAAATTGAGTCCCTCTTCTGTTCTCCATCCCTCCCCACCCTCTTCCTCCTGCTGAGAGGGTTCTCCAGGACCCTGGTCTCCACAGGAACAGCAGTCTCATCCCCAGAGGACAAATCATCCTCATACCCAGCAACCAGAGGATTCCCAGTCTCAGTGTCACTGTCAGTCTCTCCAGGGACTTCATTTTGTCCCTTCAACGGCGACCCCTGGCTGTCCTCCAGGAAGGACCTGTCGAGATTCCCCTCATCAGGCACAAAGTCCTCAACACTCACCAGGACGTCCTCCCTCTTCCCCAGGGATGGATTCAGACTGGGAATTCTCTCTTCGACTGCAGAATCTCCATTGGATTGATTTAAACTAGACTTTCTGGATTTCTCTACCTTCACAGGAATTGGAGTCCCTCCACCTATCGTCCTGGGAGCTCTTTTCACCTCTGGAATGACACCTGGGGCGTGAGCACTCAGAGAGGACGTGACATTCGGTACTAAAACACCAGCTGACGTTGAATCTGCTATTACTCGTCTTCGGTGGACCAAATTGTCCAGGAATTTATCGTAGTCTGCATCGTCGCTCTCCTGAAAGAGATCGAGTTCCTGGGATGTCAAGTGTGTCTCCTCCTCGTTTGTCACCAGCTGTTGGAGGAGTGTCTCCCTCTGGAGCTGGAGGAAGGGTAGGTTGAAGAACTTGTGGAGGAGTTTCAGTCCAAAGCCGTTTCTCATCGATGACTCGGCGTATCGTACCTGAATCCTCCGGTCCTTCAGGGAGTCGATGAAAAATGTCACTTTGTCAGAGGTGACAGCTCGATGATGGGACATGTCGCAGTGATTTGCCAGGACAATCACTGGGATGTGATCCGGAATTTTGGGGAGTTCTCGTTGAACGTAATCGAAGGTCCAGGGTTTTGTTATATCCATCATTATGATGACGCCGTTGGTTCCCTTGTAGACGTCAAGGAATTCAGCGTCTAGTGCTGGCTCCTCCAGGACTCCGTCACCCAGGTTGTCCATTTTTAGACCCTCGAGTTTTTTTCTTCGTCGACCTCGGTCCACCACGTCCCACACCTCGACTTTAACGACGTCATCTGTTGCTTTGTAGTTCCACTGGATCGATGCCACCTGGATCTCCTCCGTTGGCAGGTACTCCTCGATGAACTTCTGACCCTGGAGTCGGTGGAATAGGCAAGTTTTACCCACATTTCTGTCGCCTTTGATGATGATCTTCATGTTGTATTGGACACCTTTTGCGAATTTTCGCTGGAGCGTCGAGGGCATCGTCTGGTGGGCTGGACGCCCTGAGCTCGGGGCATCCTGTTTACCGGCTAGCCTCTTAAAGGCCGACAACATCCTGGGGGTGAGTAATCTAGAAGCATGTCGATTTATCAGGATTTTGAGAATTTTGTCGGTTTTTTTGGAATTGCTTCCGTTTGGGTGGAGCTAGGGAAAAACACCCGGCGAGTTTTTTGTAAAGAAAATTCAGGGCTAGAAAAAAGGTCCTGATGAGATTTTCGAGAATTTCGTCGATTTTGAGATATATTGGTGAATGTGGGAATGTGAGGAGACATTTTTTACTGGTTTTAGGGTTCGTGCGGAAATATCTCGGGATCTGAAAGAGATACCGAAAATTTTGAAAAGGCATTTTTTGTAGAGCGAGGGGAGATCTACAAGAAAGGTCCTGACCAGATTTCTCTATCTCCTCTGTATTTCGAGATACAAAAAAAAAAATATCTCTGCAAACTGCGATTGGTTTCCAATTCCGCGGTTTTATTGCGCAATTAATTAAAATTATCAATAAAAATGTATTTTCGATTAATCTGATACATCGGAGAGGGGAAGGCCAACAGCTCCAGGAAGTCCTGTCACTACATGTAAATAAAACCCATGATAAAACTCCGAAGTGTCGACTTACCCCGATGTTATAAACAATTTGTCTCACAGATCGAATACGGCACCATTATTTATTCCAACAAGCGTTTAATTACATTGATAACGAGAGGAAGACAGTGTGTTTTATTCAAAAGAAACAGCTGTTCTCAGGTTCATTGAATTGAGCTGTACTGAACGGTAGCGAAGTTACACAAAAAAAAATCTTGGGTTATTATGATTATAAAGGGGCGCCACAGTCGAGAGATTCTTTTTTACTCGAGAACTATCAACTCCAAGAGCAAATGTCAAAAGACCATTTAAAGAAAAAATTTCTTCATCCATAAAAAAGTCCTCTGACGTTTCTCTCTGAAATCGATAGCCTTCGAGATAAATCGATAGTTCCCAAAAGTCCTACTCATTTGATCATTATTATTTTCTTTATAAAATCAGAGGAAAAGTTCTTTGATTTTCTCCTTTTCCCCTTTTCTTTCATCCCCCCATGAACTTCAAATTTCCTTTTTTCATCTTCCCTGAATAATTTTTTATTGAATAATTACAATTTTTTACAGTGATTATCAAAATAAAACGAGGTCAACGAATTCTTTTTCGAATTATCGATTTATCTCGGAAGCTATCGATTTCAGGGGAAAGTGTTACGGGACTTTTTTTTTAGCTGACGAAATTTTAAAGAAAAAAAATCTTTTGACATTTTCACGTGGTGCTGACAGTTCTCGAGATAAATGAGGGAGAAGAGAATAATTGTCAGTGGGTAGAAAGAAAGATTTCAAATTTTTGTAATCAAATAATCATGTTCCACCGCTGTAATATGTACAATGCCATTACAATCATTACAACTATTATTATGATAGTATAAATTAGTCTTGTCTGTATGATTTTCAGTTATCGTATTCCGTCGACGTGGATTTATCGATTCGCTGGAGCATCCGATAAAAATAATTCCAGTGAAGAAAAAAATAATTGCCACATCGTCTTTGCGACCCTGGGGATCTTTGATCCTCTGCGCTCAATTCAAAGCAGTTTGAACTTTTATTTTAATGGAAAATTGGGGGAAAGTGAGAGGCTTTTCCCGATGCATCAACACCCGGAAGAGCAGGAACGGAGAGTCGAGGTGAGTGTTCTTTCATTATCACTCTACCATTTTTTTTTGTGCTCGTCCATGGAGACACCACCTGGACCCAGAGAAACGATCATCAAGAGTCCTCCGATCACTGAGAGTGTCTGGAATTTTAGATTAAATTTAATCAATCAATCGATTCCCTCGATTATTTCTAGAAATATAATTAGTCCATTTTTATTCCGATTCTCAAAAAATTTCCAGATAATCCCTGGAATCATTCAATAAAAATTCCCCGTAATGGAACTAATAGTTAATTAAATTCAAAACGATTATAAACATCAAAATTATTTTTTTCTACAAGCATTCATCCTAATTGCGTGATTAAAAATCTGAAAATTACCTGGAAGAAATCGTATTTGAGGAAATCTCTGAGAGGCTTGTGATCTGGAATGGTCCACCAGGCATTATGATAAAAATTGAGTGCCGATAGTAGGAGAACAAGTAAAAGAGCACTGAGTTTGGTCTTGTACCCAATGGTAACGAGGACCATGAGGATGCTCCCCAGGATATCCTGAATAATCTGCAGGAACGAGACTTCAAATCGAATAAGTGTGATAAACATGAATGCCAGAAGGACACGTCCAGCCAATTGGAGATAATTCTTGGGTTTGTTATCCCCAAGTGTTGGAACCCCAGCGAAAAGAGATCTACCCTCTACCCTGGACTCAGCGAGGACCAGCAGAAGAGCCCCGATCAGCGCTAAATTCCTAAAGAGGAATTGCAGATCCCAGAGGATGCTGTAGGCAAATGTCTGGAGTACAACGATGAAGAAGAGGACACCACAGGCTATTGGCACCTTAAATCTACCAATGACCATTACACAACCACCCAATTGTCCAAATAAATTTATCAGGACGAATAGTGTCGCGAGGAACATTCCACAGCCCCAGGACATGTCCATGTACTCTCGTTGCTCGTTCCACTGGAACCACATGCGTAGACCATCCTCCAGGAACGTGGCAATGAGGCAAAGACGGGCGAGAGTTGGCAGGACATGTTTCCCGTTACGAATCACCTGGAAACAAGAGAATATCAGTCGCGGAGGATTGGAGGGGATTTACCTTGAGAACCAGTGAATTTTTTGGGGGCATGTAGAGGACCTTTTTTCTTCAGTACGAAATTTACGACAAGATTGCTTTCTGACTTTTTTTTGTAAATTCAGTTGTTCCCGCGGTATTTCCATGTGAAAGTTTATTTTTTTCCTCATGAAAAATATTAAAACGGATCATCGGGATCTTGAAGAGGATTTATCTCGAGAAGCGGTGGATTTTTTGAGGATTTGTAGAGGAACTCTTTTGTTCTCCAGAAAATTCCCCCCAAAATCTCCCCCAACGACTTTCCCCGAAATCCCGCCATCCCCCAAGAAACAGCAGAAAAACCACAATCCCCTCACAAGAAATCGTCTCGACCCACCCCATCAGCACCCCCATATGCCGCATGTCCCCAATTGACCGAAGAGTCCCAAAAATCTGTCAACACCATCACCCCTAGGTCCATAACCTCCAACAAAATCCCCAGATCCCAAAAAAAAAACAATAAAAAACAATCAATCAACAATTGCACCCCTAACAATCCTAACATCCACCAGCACCTGGTGACAACAATTAATCGACGTGTCAGTACACCCGAAATAAATCTCACCTGATCAGCAACTTCTTCGGCCTTGGACACAACCTCCTGCTGGATCACCATAATGATTTACTCAAATAACTCAGAATAAAAAAAATAATAATAGATCCATCCACACGCCACACGTATTCTATCCCGTTCACCCTTGCACACGCCGTCGTTACTTTTCGGTGTGTGACATATATTTCCAATTCCTTGGGCACACGTACATACGGACATACGCCCCACTTGATATTCAAGATTTACCTGTGACTGTGGTGGTACTACACGCGTGAATATTTATCTGTGTCAGTTACCACAGCTGGTGCATGTACATTAAATGTACACCGAATGATGTGGAGTTTGTCGTTTTGACGTGCGACGCGCGTCACTTCCGGTTACGTGTCGACCCGCCAATATACGATCTTAGATCGAAGTTCAATTTTTCATTGTTCGCTGTTCATATTTATTGTAGTGATCAGTATTTATTCTCTTTGTTGAAAAGTTCAGTCTTTCGATAATAGTCTAATAATTATTATAATAATAATTGGAACATTTTTTTTAGGGTTTTGTTCAAAAGTTTGCCGATTAATTATTCCCCAGTTATAATGAGAATAATAAATTACAATTGAATTTATTGTTATTGTTATTATTATTGGAGGATAATTAATGGAAAATTTGGTCTTAAAAAATTGAAAAATTGAGGTAATTTAATAAATTAAAAGTCGCCTCATCGATGCATTTTTATTAAATATTGATAGATAGAGTTCTG